AAAGTATCTTACTTTGATCACTAGAATCCGAAAATCATATGTGCCTAAGCGACTTTTCTTACTCATACAAATCGACCCGCTCTAATATATATATATATATATATATATATATATATATAAATATATATATAAATATATATATATATATATATATATATAAATATATATATAATATATATATATATATATATATATATATATATGTATATGTATATTCATTCTTTCAATTTACGCAGAAATGTGCAGGGGATTATTAAAAATGGACAGCCAGATAAATAGATTAATAGATGGAATATTAAATATTTAAACAGGCAGCTGACATATAGATGGATTTAAAATAGACATGATAGAAAGATAAAATGTCAATATTATATTTCTGTTCTGGGTATTGATCAGTCTTGGATGAAAATTACAAGTTGGTAATAAAATTTTCTGATAATTATGCTATAAAGCAAATTTGCTAAAAATAATCAAAGTGAAACAAAAAACATTAACCAAATGTGTATGTGCTCATTGTCAAATATGTGATAAAAGAGGTTTAAGCGATCGACACTAGTGAATATGGAATTTTGCCATAAGGCAAATTGCTAGAACTTTTCGTACCGTAATTGAACATGTAAATTCATAAATGATTAGTCGGTTGATCTGTGCTTGCGAAATCATGGACAAAAATGTATCCAAACATACATTTTGCAATCTTCGAAAAAAAGAAAAACTAATGAGGCCGATTAGGATAAATGTTTTATTAAGTGTAATTTTCATTATATTTTAAAGCCTCCCCTTTTTGTCGGAGCAAAAACGGTTTTTGTTGGTATTATTGATATTGAGTCTAACATACCCAGACAAAAGACTTAGTTTGCTATGCGTAAATGTATTTCCTTCGCTAGAAAAAAACACGCACATAAACATTTATTTTTTCTAAGGTATGCCTAAATGTTCAGAAGACTCTAAAATTAATTTCATCAGATTGTTGTGCAAAGACTAGAACTTAACCTACGAGAAGTAAAAAGTTCACGTATTAATATTTATTTAAAACTTACTCATTACATATAATGTGTTAAGGCACTATCCAATTGCCTTAATTATGTTTCCTATGATCCCATTTACATTTACAACATTTCAAAAATAAACTTATGTAATCCGTACAAACGCTTGAATTCTTAACAACAATCGACATATAAAAATAAATTAATTCATCAAAATAGTTGGAGTAATAATGTGCTAGATTATAATATGTGCCCAGTATAGCGACTAAATAAATACTCACTTATAAATTAAAATATATTATAAATTATCAAAGCTCTGGAAGGAAAAGCTTTCAATGAGAATGAATTAAGCTCATAATGAAATATAAACTTATTACATTTATATACACAATGTAGGATTTACCTACGATTCGTATTAATGCGGATTATATGGTCAGTAATAAATATTAATTAATTTTTCAAAAAGGTAAATGGATTTGTAATCAAGCTAAATGTGTGCAAAAATAACTATACTTTCGTATTATAGATTTACAATAAGAAATGTATTGAGAAATACGAATTTACTTAGGCTATTGTAGAAAAAAATTAATACGCACGTACATCCAGTGCTTACTTAATCGGTTAACCGGGTGTGTGTTGTTTCTATTATTTCATATGTTTATATTCTATTGATACTAAAGGAATAAAAATAAAATACATATTGATTATTAATATTTTTATAAAAAAGCACAAAACTAGTACAAGTTTAATAGTCGATCCAAATATACGACTCATACGCACTTCATTTTTGAAGGCGCCTTTATGCGTGCTGCTCTATTAACAGGTCAAAGTAAAAAATATAGTAATTATAAATATATTTAAAATAATTTTTTAACAAAAATATTAAAAAGATACTTCAAATTTAGTTCATAACAATCAATTACTATTGTATCTCAAGAATTAAACAATACTGCTGTGTGCCCTGAGGAAAAAATGAAACAAAACGCAACAACAGGAAACGAGTAAAAAGAAAGCCGCCCGTTTCGACGAAATATGCGCACATGTGCCAGAAAAATGCAAAACACGACATGGCTTCGTTATTTTCTTCCGGATTCGACGATTTCCAGCGATTTCCCGGCGACTGGAGTACGGCGGCGCTGCTGGTTGAAAAATGGTTTCCGCGTCAAGTGGAAAAATAATAACCGGTCACGTGTTCGCCCGAACTAGCCCGTGTGTGGGTTAGCAGGAGTGTATAAAGTTTTCAATGCGGGAAGCTCCGAATAGCATGGAGCTCGTATTTTATGTTTTAAACAATTAAATTGTGAAAAATATAGAGCCGGGCTTGTTTGTTCGGCTAAAGAAATATAGTTATAACAATATGTTTGTACATGCAAGCACTAAATATATTTTAAAATTTATGTACAGAAAATTGAATGAGAAAACATTTTTGTGTTGTAATATACGGAGTACTCATTGTCAGTAATATTTGTTGAATTTTATTGACTTAAATTATATAATTGATTTTTCAAAGATGATTTTTTCCAAAATGAATCAAACATATTTTTGAAATAAGCAGTTTAAAATAAATTTACCTATTTTCTTCATAATGCTTTTCATAATCATTCTATATTGTAACACTTATGGCTGTGATTGACTATTTTAAAAATTATCTTGAAAAATATAAGTTGGGTTTGAGTAAAACTATACATGCAAAATATCAATTTATACTAAAAATTAGCTTATATATATATATATATATATATATATATATATATATTAGGGTGGTCCTTAACAAGGACATTTCGAATTTCTTTGCTCCCTAGGGCGCTAATGCTTCCAAATAAATAAAAAATGAATCTCTGATAGTATTAGCTCTCAATATAAACATTTTTATAGAGCGCACGCCAATTGAAAGTATCTTATATTTGTTATTAACATACGTCATTAAGTAAATTGTTGCGCCATATGTATAGTATTCTTGAACTCAAATATTATGACACATAAGAATATTTGTAAACCACTTAACCTCTAATTAAATCCAAGTGGGCTGTTCTATAATATTTATTCATCATAGAATCAAGATAATAATTTGAGTTTCAACATCAGCAATTAAATAAATATTTTGCTGCAAAATTAATCTTGATTCCATGATGAAGAGGATTTATTCAGAGGTTAAGTGGTTTATAATCTAAAAATATGCATTTTGTCGTTTTTCAAATTCTAGTTGGACAAAAGTTTTTTACGAAAGTTTCTAAAACTGTTTTGATCTGCAATATATTATCAATTATTATCAATAATTTGATCAAATAAAATTCGCTTCAATAAATTTTCTTGACTCACTTCATAATCGTTAAAAGTTACTATTGAATATTTTGTGCTAATTATGATGACCATTCTAGTCTCATATTGAAAACTCACTGTCACACATTGATATGAATTGAATTGATCCGGTTCGTTTGGACCAATTTTGTAGTGAATAGATTATATTAGTTTAAATAGTTTAGATCAGATTATATTAGTTGATAACGGAATTGTATAAGAAGTTTGTGATCCAACAAAATGCTGAAATATTGAAATAGTACACTTTTTGCGTATAATGCCAAAAGATAAGATGTAATTAGGTGTTATAGCAGACAGAATAAAGATATTATGTTCAGTTTAAAATTGTTGTATAATTAGATAAAATTATACGTCGTTAAAGATTGATATATAATGTTATACGTGTGAATGTTGAACGTTGAATGTTGAAACATGTAAGTTACTTCGTTGAACGTTTAGATAGTACTTGTTACTTACAGTTAGATAAAGTTTGAGCTATTACCAATCTTATTTCGTTATAGTTTCAGTTGATACTAATTTACAAAGTTTAAATAATTTTATATCATTTTTCTGATCGGTCTGTTTTTATGATTGGTCAGGCGACTACTCCTTACATTCATCATCCAAGCTAATAATATTCAACTGTGATTTAGGTGCGTCCGATTTAGAGAACATAATTTCTTAGAAGGACGAAATAATGATTGATGTACTATTTATGGAAAGGATAACTCACAATATAAGATAATTTGATATTTGATACTTTGAAATAGTGCAATAAAATTATTGGGTTTCTTTATTGGTATCATGTATAAAGATTATTAAAATATATATATATATATATATATATATATATAATTTTATTAGACCACGGTGTCTAACCAACGGTGTTAACACACAACATTATTCAAAAAATCAAACCCCACCCAAAAGTGAATTGTTAGTTGTTGATGTACTAAATGTTTTTAAATGGTATTTTTGCATTCAATAAAATTGCAATTGTTTAAAAAGCATATAGAATGTATGTGTGCACAATTCGGTATTTATATTTATCAATTTATAAATACATCCTGTGTTCTGCAATACAGAACGATAAAGTCAGTTTAAAATTAAATTGGTTACCTTTTTATAATTTTTTATGTGCACATATTGCACACTACAGTTTGCAATGCGTTTTGCAAAATATATTGGTATTTTGTAAGTGTGTATGTATAGGTTTATTTTATATATACATATAAACATATTTGTTCGATGCTATTTAATAGGACATACGGACATAAAACACATTAATTGCACAATGCTCCATCTATATACATTGCGAGTATCTCTGAATAAAGCGTCGAACATTTTTATCGTTTGAACTGAGAGCAATTGATCAATTGAAATGGGATTCTAAAAGAGGAACAAAAACGCCCCTTAACGAAAAAAGTATAATAACGAAGAACGGACTACGGCAAGAGCACTAGAGGGGATTAAGGGTGAAGTATTGCGGGAAAATCTAGTACAAAACTAGTATTAATGAAGCTCTCAAATTCTATAAGTACATATACCACAAGAATAAGCCAACTCTCTGGTGGGTACTTTCAATGGTGACTATATGTTGAATTTTAATATTTGTCGATCTTTTTTTAATTATTGATATTTCTCGAACTGATTTTTGTTTTCAGTAATTTATTCTGAGTGTGTAGATATGTTAATATAAAAAAAAAATTTGCTTACCTCTATTCCATTGCTCTGGTTCATGTGGTATTACTCTACTACTAGGTCCAACAGCGGATAAAGCTGAAAGAAAAAAAAATTTATTTAATTTTACTGATTATTAAAATAAAATGTATAATAATATTTATAAACATTATTAAAGTATAATAACCTTGGGTAATAAGCTCATTTCAACTATATAATGTAATTGAAACTATTCAATGAAATACATGTTTTACAACTAACTATTTAATGATATGTTTAGAATGTAACTTTGATAGGCATATAAAACATTTATGGTAGATATCAATTAAAAAACTAAATGACGGTATATATAATATTTTACAACATTATTTGTTACTGCAAGTTTACCTGTACAACATTATAAATATTGGCACGAAACCCATAAAAGTGTAAGCAGAATTTGTACTTATTATTAAAATCTTTATAAAATATCTCACAATTTAATTTGCATATGTCTAATGATCATGTTTGACCGCAAAAATGGCTTTTTTCAACTGTTTCTAGAAGAAAATACGTGATTAAATTAGTAAATAAATATTTGTATATTGTTCATTCAACTAAAATTCTAAATGAGAAATTAAAAAGTATCTGTTATGGAAGTGATAAAATAATATATATAAATATAATAATATTTTTCATATTGTAATTAGTGAGAAGTCGAAATATTGTTATTTTATTGAATTTTTGAAGCCGCTGGATACCCGCCTTTGCAAAAAACTGATCATCAGGTCTTCCCATCAATAGAAATAAAATGTTTTTGTGCATTCACGTCGGTAGATCTGTGCTCTTGAAATCATGAACAAAAAATTGTATCCGAACATACACATACACACAAGCGCACATATACACCCAATTTTCTAAGGTTGGCCAAAATATTCAGAAATCTTTGAAACGTTAAGATATGCAAACAATTTCATTTTCGATTATTCGCGATTACTTTAACTTACACTAAGGTAGGCAAGTTAATATAAAAAAATCAATTATAAAACCACAATAACAAATAAATATTATAAATATACTAGTTCAAAAATATTGCAGCAAAATTTGTCTCATAATCAGAACGTTCTATAGGAAACATTCCTAAACACAAGTGGTGGATGTCGTCTATAAATGACGCTCTTAGCGAAAGGGTTGTTTCATACTATATGTTTTTATTAAACATTACACATTGACACAAATCTTAACAAAACTTAACAAAAATTATTAAAAATTATCATTTTTTCTTCGATTATAATACTGCAAATTTTATTTCCATTAATTGGAGATCGTGGAAACTTTGCAGACAACGAAAGTAAATTAGCTAAAGTGCTAATTTAAATAATCGATGTTTTTTTAATTTATAGAAAGGTAGAATTATGTAATATGTTAAGGAATTATGTTGTTTAATCATGTTCTAATGCAGTCTTTAATTTAAATAAAAAAAAACAAATTTCTAAAATGGTTTTATAGCTTTCATAAATCACATGGCGAACCTATTAGCAATAGTGTTAATTAAGTTGCTTTAAATATTTATTCAACTATTGAGTTATTTTTCAACTCATTTCATTATGATACACAAATATAATTTCTCTATTATGACAGAATTATAAATCAATAAAATTACTAAATGTCCTTAACTGGACAGTTGTAAATAAAGTAATTGATAAAAAAATATAAATTTACTGCCTTAGTTTGAAAAGCGAGATTTATAGGACATTCTAGTCTTAAGTTTTTATAAAAAAAAAATTGTCGATTTCTAGAGACTGCAAACTATAGTCTTGTACAATATTAGCCTGTATGTAGTCGTAATTTGAAAATTAATAATAAAAAATAATATTTCTACAACAACACCTTCTTGTGTACATTATACCTAAATTCAGGCACGAATTTCGTATGTAGGTCTACGGTTGTTTTATAGTGACAAGTAACACAGACAAAGTGCAATGAGTATTTGTGCTAGCAAGAATAATTAATTAAAATGTGATATATAAACCAAACTACACGTTAATATATCAAGCCGGAGTTGGTGCGCCAGTCGGTGCGCGGTTGTCGGCCAAATACTATCTACGACCATCATATAAATAAACCTCCACGTACTGTAAATTGTTTCTTTTCTTAAATGAATATAATATTAAATATATTATAACCATTTCTACAAAAAAATCACTAAATATTATGTAGAACATAACTGAGAACACAGCGCTAGATTCTTATAAATGAGTTGGTGCACTCAGAATAAATGGAAGGTCATTTATTTTCTTTCTTTAATTAATTAAAATTATTCACTGCAATAGAGAAAAAAGCAAAAAGAGCGCACTCTGAACATTATTACAAAATATTTTGTAGTATTGGTAAATATATTTTCTAAAAGTAGTTGAAAATGAAGTATAACACCAATAATGTATAAAGTATAATTATAAGAATGGATAGTACTGCTCTAGGGCAGTTTCGTGAGCTGAGTAGAACTCGAACTCGATCCAGGCAAGAATGCTGCAAGAGATATCTCATTGCCGTTTCACATCGCAGTGCACAAAATAAGCTATTTTAAATTGCAAACAAAATTTTCATCAATATTTTTAAGTAAACATTGATATCACTACTGCATGATATCAGGTTATCCAGAGCGGTTGTTTAAACTGACGACCAGTCAAAAAAGTGTGCTTAACGATACACCATGAAACACCTTATGAAGTGTAATAAAATTTATTCTAATACATTTAGTTATAATTTTAACTTTATATATAACTAAATAAATATTCCTAGGGTAAACTTGAAAATAAAAAATTGATGCTATTTTTAATTACAATTCAGAATCCATATTGATTATGATTATTATTAAGAAAAATTACGTAAACATGTTCTGAAACAAGCGGAATCCTTCTCATTTAAAACCATTTACTAATGTATGTAATACATATGTAATGTTCATAATTATATCTTTCAAAAATAAATGAGAAATCTAATATAACCTATTCAGTTTACAAAATATAATATACTCAATACAGGAATGAAAATTGTTCTAGTGATAATATCAATATCAATTATAAAGAGATAATATTAGATAAGAGGACATTAGATAACATTGCACACACATGATATGTTAAATTAAAAAGTGGTTTATAATAAATTAGTTAAATACGTTCTGGATAATGCTGAGTAATTATACTTTTCGTATTAAAAAAATTTTTTTTTTATTTATTTTTTTAAATTTATTAAAAAATATTCATGTTAAACCAGCTACTATCACATTTTATACTCTATTGTAATATTCGTGAATACATCTTTTAACAATAAGATTGAAAAGAAAAGCGCCACTGGATTTAAGTCATACTCTCCTGTTAAAAAATGGAAATAACTTAGTCATTATTTATAAGAAAATATTTTATAAGTAAATAGTTAAAATTATATAATTATCAATAAAATATTGTGAATATTATATCGAATGGGAAAACAATTATTGAGTTGTTCTTCCAACATGCACTTTTAGTATACAATGTCTCTTTACTATTGTAAATGCCACAAATTTATTAAATGTCCTTAACTGGACAGTTGTAAATAAAAGAGATAGTAAAAAAACTATCACCAACAGTATATAAAGTATAAAATAATCTATAGAACAATTATCATAGTTACAATTAAAATATCAGTTTAAGATTTTTGTTATTTCCATGTAATTACAATCCACCTGGCAAGGCATTCAGTAATTTTGGTAACGTATGTGTAAATATAAGATTTCAAAATGCTACCCAGTAGTAGTCATTTAAAGTTTGATAATGGATGAGATAAAATTATAGAACAGTAATAATAACTGTATATTATATTTCATTTATCAGTTCAAGAAATAAAGCTGAGTTATAAGTTCACTGCATAAAGTCTAATATTATATAAACAAAAAACATACTAAATATTTAAATATGTTCTGAAACAAATATCTTGCATTCACTAGTTACTAATACGGTCCTCTATAAACTTATATATAATACCTTATTATTCAATCAAGGTTCAGATATTTTTGAAAAAGCAGATAATCTATTTTTTATTCCATTTTTTGTGATTTGAACTTTAGGTTCATTCATACAAATTGGAATAAGAGTTCAGACGTTCAAATTAATAAAGCACTTCATCTGAGTATCTCATATTCATGAACTTCAATAGACATTTCCGAGCCTTATGTTATAAAATAGAACGAACGAATAGCCAGAACAAAAAAAATACATTCGAATAGAATCATAACCATGAAATAGCAAAGACAGAATATCTGCCCTGCTTGGAATAAGAAGATTTCAAAGAGCGCTTGTTGAAGCAGTCATTATGAGAAAAATCCTTTTGTGGATTTGAGATTTTTATCAAATTAACAACAACTCAAAAAGGAAAAACCGCTTCAGAGAAATATGAAATATGGAGAAAGCGTACTGGTCGAAATAAAAAGAATTTAAGTGCCCCAGGAATTTTCATATGCATTTTACAAAAGGTGTCTACCTCACGTTATATATATTCTGAAGGAATTGCACAGAATAATGTGAGCTTTTGTGCTGCATTGTCGGCGTACTGCAAAAGTTCTCTGTTGTTCCTTCTTGCTGTTTCAGATGCATTTAATGTTGTTTTTCTTTTGAATACGATTATATCCTTATAACTCATATCTCAGCGGTTTCCACGCAATAAATAAAATTCTGTGCTTGCTTTAGAAATTGCACTTGAAGGAGAACAACAAATTATCAAAGTTATAATCTTGTTATATTTTCTATAATAATAATAGAGAACTTGCTCGAAACTTCTATTGTAGTGGAATGTTTTAATTAATTTCTAATATTAATAATTGAAGGAGAATACCCTTTTGTGTCATAGAGTATTATATTGTATAAATTTATCACAGTTGATTTTCAATTGAATTTGGAAACCCAGTGCATTTATAATTACAATAAATATTTTAACAATGAATTATTGACTATCATCATTATTGATAAAAATTTATCTCTTCGGGTTTCATAGTTTCTAAATAATTTGGTATACCTTAGAAAAAATGCATGTAAGTGTGTGTGTATGTATGTGTGGATACGAAATTTTTTCCACATGTTTGGGAG